GCCACTCGCCTCTGTGCTGACGTTAATCTCCCCAACGAGCAGAATCAGCATCCACACCTCAGAGCTGTGTGAGTTTGGCGCTCCTGTATCTCGTTTTTCAAGTTCAGCTCAGCAGAAGGCTTCAGGATGTGTTTAATCTCAGGGGAAGATGTGCACATATCTGTATCTGGAGGGAGGGGTCTCCCAGCAGCCCTGGGGACACAGTGCCACCACCACCACATCCCCACTGGCAGCGGGCACATCCCGCTCCCCTCTTGCTCCCTGAGCTTCCCGGTTGCTGTGCAGTATTAATGGCTCATGATTCATCAGCAGCGAGCCGGGGATGACAGACACATGCATGCACCCCGTGGCTCTGCAACGCGCACGTCTGCATGCAGGGACTCAGATCCAGAGGAGCCTCAAATCCCCAGCCATCACCACTGAGGTTATCTGGGGCTGCAATTTGGATTTTTCCCCATAGTGGTGCCAGGCATGAGAGCTCAGCACCTCCAGCTCTATGCTCAACACAGTGCCATCCCACAAAGCACCAACCAGTTGTGCTCTGGACCGCTGGGAACACACAGGAGTTACTGAATATGTGAGCTATGAGGTGAACCCAACATTCAATCAAACCTGGGGGGCAAAGCCTTGGGCATAGTGGGGCATTGAGTGGTGACTCTCTGTCCCCAGACCCCAATTTCCCTCTTGTTCCTTGCTTCTCCCATCCCTCCCATGCAAACTCCCGGGATGCGCCTGCCCTAATTGCTTCCCACCTCCTGCAGGGTTTGAAAGATGAAAAGCCCTCACCAGGATAAAGTGTGGAGCACTCATGGGTTATTAATGGCAAGCCATCATTATTTTACCTTTCAAGCACCCGGGTGACAGCAACATGGGGAAGGGCTGGGGAGGAGGAAGCAGCACAAACACACTGCAGCTTTCCCCTCCATCCCCTCCCATAGGGATCCCATTGCCACGCTCTACCAGGAGGCTGGGCAGATTGATGGCAAGGGAGCAGCGAGCAAACAGCACAGCAGATGCGTGCAGCCCATGGGGCTCAGCCTGCCGTGGGGGGGCCCAGCGGGGACACAAACCCCCAGCAGCACCCAGCCCAGATTGATGGCCACGCTCCACCCAGCCACCATCAGCCATCATCCCCAAAGAGCTGAGAACGGGCAGCGTGAGGAGGAGGGTGAGGAGGGCAACGTGGGGTCTCCGTACCGAGCACCAAAGACGGAGACTGGGACCCTATGGGACGTGGATGGAGACACTGGCGCCCCCCCCCAGGGACACACACACCACGGGTGACACGTGGCAGCCCCACGGCGCAGCCAGGGGACACGCTTGTTTTCAAAGTGTTTTTTATTGGCATAAATAATTCATACACCGTCACCTCACCAAACACTGCACGACAAACCACGGGGACAAGGGCTCACCACTCTGCGGTCACGGAGGGTCGCACTCAGTCAGACAGCGGAAATTATAAATACTTTCTTAAAGTGTAGAAAACGTTATAAATGTTACTGTACAAATTTACATCGGGGAGATCTAGCGTGCCTTTCTCTGCTTTTTTTTTTTTTTTTTTTTTTTGAATGTGTTTTTCATTTATTATTTTTTTTTCCCCCCACCGAAATCAATTGCTCTTTCCCAGTGACAAGAGTTTTGCGACAACAACAACAAAATATATATATATATATTTATGTATATATTTATAAAAAGGAAACAGAAGGAGGGAGAGGGGAAATGAAAACCAGCTCATTCTGCAACGGTCGGAACTAACACGGAGAAAACAAAGCAGCCACCGAGTTCAATTTGAAACTGTACAGGATTTCGAGCTCTTTAGATATGTATATATCTATATACATACATATGGAGATATGTATATATATTTATATATACCTTATGTACAGGAAAACTGGGGGTTGGACTCGATGATCTCTGGAGGTCCCTTCCAACCCCTACAGTTCTGTGATTCTGTGAAAATGTAACAGCGCCATTTAAAGGGAACAGAAATCAAGAAGGCTGGCAAAGCTCCCCAGAAAAATCACCGTTTGCAACACAAAAATAAGTTAAAATAACTTAAATAAGTTAAAATAAATAAACCTAGGAACGACGCAAGCGACGGGTGCCACACAGCGGTGGCCAAGCACAGCCTGGTTGAGCAACCCAACGGTGCACGCAGCATTTGGGGCCATGCAGGGGCTGAGGATGCGCCATGGGATGGCTTCCCCCACGTGGAGCTGCTCTCAGAGTGCCCCACGCCCATCCCCACGCCTCCCAAACCCACCTCCAAACCCCACACATCTCGTCAGGTGGGCGCCCATTGGCAGGCGTTGCGCAGAGCGGCTCCCACCACCTTCACTCCATGTGGAAGGGCTGAGATATTTAAAATAAAATTAAAAAAAAAAAAAAGCAACACAGATCCAGCAACACAAAGCTGGACTTAAAAAAAAAAAAAAGAGAGAAAATATAAATATATTGTTTTTATAATTAAGACTTTCAAAAATAAGAAGGCATTGATGCAAATAGCACGGCTGTACCAACAGCCGCTACTGTGCTGAATGGAAGGAAGGGAGCTGCTTGTCTGGGCTTGTGGATGGATAAACACAGGGCAGCTCCTTCTGTTGGTGCTGTTTTGTAATGGCTCCCTTGGATGGAAATGTTCCTGGGAGGAAAAAGGGGCAGTGGGGGCAGTTGGGCTGGGCACAGTTGTTGGCCATAGCTTTACCCAGCTCCTTTGGATGGCCAAGGGGCAGCAGGGAGTCGTGTGGTATTTCTACAAGGACCGGGGCAGCGGGATGCCCCAACCAACAGCACTCATCTGATGGACATCTACAAACAGGGGAGGGGGGACCCCATGAGGAGCGGTCAGCAGAAGGCTTGGGGCACAAAGCACACCCACAGCAAGGCTTTTAAGATTGATTGTATCCCATTGCAAACCTGCACGGCATTCTATCAGGCTTTGTCACCCCACTGTTGAGCATCGCCTCCATCTTTCCAATTCACACCTAGAGGGTTCACAACTCCTTGGAAAACAAAACCAAGAGCCGTGCGTTGCTCCTGCATCTGTCACTCAACATGGGCATGGTTCTGGACAGGACAGAAGGGGACAGGGCACTGGAACAGCCCCATCCCCAGCACCCACAGACCCCTGGATGAAGGCATTGGTGAGAAGTCAGAGAGGCTCTGAGGTTTAGTGCAATGCTTATGGCACACACAGAGAGGATGGAGAGAGAATTGTTCAGGTGGGAAGGCAGCAGAAGACAGCAGAAGAAGGTTGGGGTAGGACAGGGCTCTGGGTTGTGTTGGGGAGGGCAGGGGATGAGAAATTCCATCCTTCGTGCAAACAGCCAGGAGGCAACCATGTGGCACAGAAACTACCTGAAAAGCACCAGCCTGAGCCTTGTCCAAAGAACCAGGACATTCTTAGGAAGGACCTTCAGGATCTCTGCTCACGTAATGATCTGCCCAGCACTGAACAGAGGGCTTTAACCTTCATTCATTTTGGATAAAGTGGTTCAGACACCAACAGTTTGAGACATACAAGGCCGATTGCTTTGCAACATCTGAGTTCAAGCCGACTTACAGAACGGCTGAATTATTCAGGATGGCTCCCAACGAGCAATTATGCTCAATAGGATCCTGAAAACACAATTTTCTCTCCACTGCCGTGATGACAGCTCATGTAGAATGGGCTCAGGGGAAGGGAAACACCAGCATGAGGTGCTCGGATGGCAGCACAAAGCACAGCTGATGGGCTCTGGCTGCGGGTGCATGGGATGGCTATGGGGCTGGGAGGGGGGCACTGGTTCTGTACAACCAGAGACTGCTCCCCCTGCTCCCAGTCCTAAAACCCAACACAGCCCACAGCATCTGACAAACAGACATCAGCACCCCACGGCTGTAACCAGAGGGAGAGGAGGAGAAAGGCAAGATGGAAGGGGTGGCAGATGAGCTCCGTGCCAGGCACAGGGATGAGCTAGTGAGGCTGTGGAGCTGGGCCCTGCAGAGGGACAGCCTGGGGAGGACCTGGGCACAGCCAGGAGCAAAGAGCCACCTGTGAAAGGTCACCATTGCCGTGGTGAGGGACCGAGGAGGGGGCACTGTGGGTGCATTTCCCTGCAGGGAGCAGCTAACAGAGCGACACAAACCCACAGATCAGCAGCTCTCCCCCCTTAGCTTTCTACTTTTAAAATAAAAACACTAGGAAATTAAATAAAATCCCCTAGAATGAAAAAAGCAAGCCCCAAAAGAGTGCTGTGAGCACGGACCATACCGATTGGGATCAGAGAAGCCCGGGGGTTGAACAGAAGCCACCTGCCCTCGCACATCTTGGGCCCGGCAGCCCTGCAGCCCCATGTGTGCACGGCCCCTGCTGTCTGCCTGCCACCACGGTGTCCCCACACGTCTCTGCCCATCACTTCCTCTTCAGTGCAGGGAAAGGCTGTGGTGGTTCTATCCCATCCCAGTCCATCCCACAGTGCCCACCGCTCTTCCTTCCTTGGCACATGAAGGAGAGCAGCGAGGAAGAGGAGAAACGCAGGGGAGGAAGGCACCATCCCTCAGCTCCTCCTGTCACAGCCTGGAAAAGAGATGAGATGGCAGAGTCAATGTGGGGCACTGTGTCCAGCAGCACTGAGGTCCTGCAAAAGAGTCCCCAAAAGTGCATCCGTGTGCACGCATCAGCAGGACCCCAAGGGGGCTTTTGTCTCCTGTGCCCATGGCCTTCGTGTAGGACTGCTTTGGATCCTACCACAATAACGCCCAGACCCCCAGCAGTTACACATTCCACTGCTTTGGGGTTCAGCTTTCCTTGCAGAGCCACCCCCAGTGCCTGCTCAGAACACAGACTGGCGATTAGCTCCCATCCTGATCAATGCTGGCTCAAGTTCCGGGTGACACAGGGGACATCCGACCGCTGGCTGCACAATGTTCCCGGGAGCGCTGAGCACGTGGGGACACAGAGTTGCTTGAGTTCCTGCCTTGGAGCATAGGTAGGGAGGAGAGGTTTGGGTATCAGGGACTTACTCTGCTGACTTCCAGAAGTGCCCAGGGTGGGAAAGGCGACGGTTGCGCTTTGGCAGTTTCTCCAGCATGTCCATGAGCTTGGTGAAGGTGGGTCGCTCCTCCTGCTCGTAGGCCCAACAGAACAGCAGGATGTCCTGCAGCCACGCACAGTGACAGGTGAGCACACGGAGGTGGTCCCATAACCACTGCCCACGCACCATACGCTCACCCCACATCTCCTATAGGGAACCCTATCCCCACCTCATACAGCCCCACTAGGGAGCCCTATCTCCATCCTGTACCCCATGAAAGGGACGAGTTCAGCATCGAGACCGAGCCCCACCATCAGAACCCTTTGCCCGACACACATCCCCCATCCCACCCCCCCATGGGTCTGGTTGCCCCGTGGCACCTACCGAGATCTCCTTGCCCATCCCGATCTGGCTGAGGTTGGGTTTCATCCCTCGCCCAACCTGCCATATTATCGCCTCCGCCGGCTGTGTCTTGAAGGGCCATTCTCGTGCATGCAGCTCATACCAGATGGTGCTGGGGAGAGAGCAGTGCCAGGACCAGGGTCATTCCAAGGGGGGGGACACCCAAATGGCACCCTAACGTGTCCCAACTCAAACCCCATCACAACCAACAGAGACCGCTCAGCATCTTTGCTTCACCCCCAAATAGGCCAGCAGTGTCACTCAGTGCTCAGTACAAAGATGCCACTGCTCCCATTTCCAAGGTGGGAAAACTGAGGCCGAAAATCCCAACACAGAGGAACATCCCATTCACATTCCCTGAACTGGGAGAATATCCCTTTCTCCACTGCACGAGGTCCTGAGCTACTTCCCCTCACTCAGAGGCAGCATCCATCTGAGGCATCGTCCACTGCGGGTGGGCAGCCCTGTCCACAGCCATTGTTTTGCTCCACGTTTATAATATCTACCCTGATGGGACGTAACTGTATTTATTGTGCATGACAGCAGTGAGGAGACCGCATGCTTCGGCTGCTGCTGCAGGCACACACCGAGATGTTCAGTGGGGAGCAGGCGGACCCACTGCAGAAAAAAATAAGCCTGAGTAACAGTCTTAGCTTGATCAGATCCCCTAATTACTTTTTTTTTTCTTTTTTTTCTCCGAGCTGACGCTCTGCCTTGGAGGAGAGAATATCCAAACTCTTTCAGCTTTAATTACTGCAGTTTTGATGGAAATATCACCTCGGATAACAGCTTCACGTAAACTAATCACTGCAGCCTGCAGTCTTTAAGGTGTGCATGATAAGATCAAACAAAAACCACAGCCCTACACTCGCCTTGAGAAAGGTTTTATCAGGGCGTGATGGGACTCCTGACACAAAGGATGCTTTCTGCTAGATAAATAGCAGGAGCGATGAGTCGGTCGGCTGAGCGTTCCCGCTGAAGGAGACTCATCAATTCTCCCCTGCTCAGCCTTTTGGCATCTCCTCCTCTGCACGTTCAGCCCCCAGTGACAGCCACGGCTGCTCAGACCATCTGCAGGCACCCAGCAGGGAGGATTGGAGGGCTCTGGGGATTTGTGGGCCAGCATCTGCATCCCATAGCATCTTCATCCCACTGCATCGCCCTGCTGTACCCCTATCCCTCTGCATCATTCCACCACACGTCCATCCCACTGCATCCTCATCCCACTCACCCCATCATCTCACCACAATCGTATTCCACTGCATTTTCATCCTATGAACTCTTCATTCCATTGCATCGCCTCACCATGTCCCCGTCCCACTGCATCCCCATCCTGTGACCTCCTCATCCCGCTGCATCTCCATCCCACCATGCCTCCATCCAATTGCTTCACACTACCATGCTCTCATCCTACCCCATCCTCATTCCACTTCCAGCTGCTTTCCCATCAGTACCCATGCTAAGAAGAGACAATTTCCCAGATTCACCCTTGTCTGCCTGTGACACGGGGGGAGGGGGGCCTGGGGGTTTTTCACTCAAATTCTTTTGAAGCAGGCTCATGCCTCAGTGATGGCAGCAGGTCACAACCAACACTGCCCCACCAGACACCCATCGCACAGCAGGGACTCACCCCAGAGCAAAGACGTCCGAGTGCTTGGAGAAGGGCAACTTGTCCTCCTCAGTGTCGGGCGAGAGCTGGCGGATGATCTCAGGGGCCAGGTGGCACAGCCAGCCATTCTGGATCCGCAGTTTGTTCTCCCTCCTGTAAGAATAAGGAGCCAGGAGCTCGAGTGCTGGGGAGGGCAGGGAGAACCACTGTTGTCTCCCAGGCCCTGCACCCCATTTAAGCCTGGTTTTCCCCTCAGGATCCTTGCAAGTCTGGGCTTTAGCCCCACTGTGACAAAGGCCTGCAGGCAAGATGTCTTCATATTTGTCTCTGGTGGAAGGGCACAGTTTGGGCTGGTGCCTTGGTCTGTTCTGGCTCTCACTGTCACCCCCCACACAATCACAGAATCATGGGATCATTCAGGTTGAGAAAGACCTCTAAGATCCCCAAGTCCAGTCCCTGCCCACCCCACCATGCCCACTGACCACATCCCCCAGTGCCACCACATCCCCATGGTTCTGGAACACTTGCAGGGTTGGTGACACCACCACCTCCCTGAGCAGCTGTGCCACTCCATCAGCACTCCTTCCAAGAAGAAACGTTTCCTCATATCCAATGTAAACCTCCCATGGCAAAACTTGAGACCATCACCTCTCGTACTTTGAACCAAAATTCTTCAGGAGAGCAGGGACAAACATTTCCTTGGGTAAATCCCACCAGCATCAACATCTGAGCTGGTCCTGCTTAGACCTGAGCACAGACCAGGGACTTCCAGGAGTGCACTCCAACCCAACTCACCCAATCACGGCCCAGCAATCAGTGTTTCCAGGTGTTTGATCCCTTCCAGCCCATCATTTCCCTATCTCCTCGAGGTCCCCCCAGCCGGTACAAACGCACTGGGATCATTTGGCCAACAGCTGAGGATGATGCTGATGCCTTCCTCCCGCAGGCACTTGGATGCACTGATGGCACAACTTGCTCTCTCCTGCTCCTTCCAGAGCTGCTTGACCAAACCAATGCTTCACCAGGTAACAGAGCTCCCCTGTACCCTCTCTCTTGTGTGAAGCTTTCCCACGTTGCATCCTGGTAACAGCACACACTGATGGAGCCCTGGACTCAGTCAGTGCCCCAGCATCAGTTCTACCAGCAGAGAAGGCTGAGCTCCAGAGCAATCCCAAATTTGGCTAAATTATGGCAATTTCACGACTTCATAACCAACCCAGGCACATCACAGAACAAGAGAGCAGCAGTGAGAGCAGAAGAGCTCTTCAGGCCACTCCAAACCACCTCTAACTACAGAGCAGCCCTATCAAGCCCGGCAATATTTAAATACACGAAAAATAAATATATGGAGCAACCCTATCAAGCCATGCAACGTTTAAATATGGGAAAAATAAATAACTGGAGCAGCCCTACCAAGTCCTGCAACGTTTAAGTACAGGAAAAATAAATATCTGGAGCAGCTCTACCAAGTCCCACAATGTTTAAGTACAGGAAAAATAAATACGATTTCACCAGGGTAAGATGCCAGGTAACAACTTCTCTGCAGTGTGCTGTAGGTGTGACAGCCATCCCATTTTTCAGCAGTGTTGGTATCAGTGCACCGAGTGCATTCAAGGCAATCTTGTGGCTAGGAGGATGAGGAGGGTTTTTAAGTGATGGCACTTTTAAACTCTAGTGAGAACAGGCCAGGTAGTGGTCCTCATTCACATCTGTGCATGAAGTAACATCACCATCTTTAGTCTGGCCTGCCAACATTTGCTTCCCTCTCTACACAGTCGTGAGACACCACAACCACCAATAACAACTTCACCTGAACAAGGAGATCAGACTTGCAGGCACTTTTCTGCTTCAAAATCCATGGTGAACGATGGGTGCAGATTCCAACAGGAGATGCACGTGGGTACAACAGTCAAGGGAGGCCACCCCAAAAGCTCCTTGGACAGGAATTTCTGCACTGTCCTCATTTTTCCAGCAGAATGCCCATTGTTTCTAGAGGACCTTGTATGTCTGTACAGCTCCACATGTCACCTATCCTCTACTAAGCAACCTCACCAAGTGGCATCCTGACCTTGAGCATCATCCCATTTAATTGGGTACTCATCTCCCTGCTGCCTCATCTCACGTTTCACCTACAGAGCCTCTCTGTAAACAGGGACAGGCCACGCGTGGAACATCCCCATCTACTGATGCATTCAGGCCCATTCAAAACACCAGCTGCTTTCTTCTACTGCAGCATTCCCAAAAGCTTTGGCCGTTTTTGCCCAATCCAGCACACAAAGACCCCAATGGAGGAAACTGCAAGGGCAGGACTGAAGTCCCACCATCCACAAAAGCCCACCACGTGCCGTTGGTGAGGACAAATGAAAACCAAGAGTGGCAAGTGGGAATTGCAAAGTCAGCAGCACTTCTTTGGCATTGCTCAAGACAAAAGATAAAACTTTAATTCCTTCTCTCCTCTTTCACTCCCCCCTCACTCTAGCTTTGTTTTTCTCCCCTGAACGGCTGTTGAAACTCTCTATGCTGCTAAGCCTACAGCTTGCAACCCTCCCAAAACACTGGCAAAAAGACATTTAGTAAGGAACATTTACCAAATGTGCCTTATTTCAAACCCAAAGAGACACCAAAATGTTGCAAGGCTGTAAATGTCCCGAGCTTGGCTCTCTGCTCGCTGCGCTCAGTTAGGCACAGGCACCGCGGCCAGATGTCCACAGCAACCCAAAGGTCAGCATGCAGCACCACTCAGCAGCCAGGGAGCTGAGGATGGAGCAGATGCTGGTGGATTTTAGGGATACTGCTGGGGGATGGCTGAAGCAAAGCCAAAAGACACTCCAATCCTCTTTGTCTTCATGCCCACCAAGGCTACAGAGCCAAGCGCACGTGCAAAAGAGCTTCTGGGGTTCCTTCCCCATGCCCTCAGTTCTAGGACCAAGGATGAAGCTTGGGTTTCCATTGCACCACATCCTACCTGCCTGCCTGGAGAACTCCCGAGATGCTGAAGAGGCCGAAGTCTGTGATCACAACCTTCCCGTTGTCATAGAAAACATTTTTGGACTTGAGATCTTTGTGGAGGATCCCTTTGGCATGCAGGTACCCCATGCCCTAGGGTGGAGGAGAGAAAAAAACAGAGCTGACAAAGAAGCACATAGAAACAGGATAACAGAGAAAAGGGGCAGCTTCACCAATGTCTGCTGATTGATTATGCTGAGAAACAGCAAAGCTGCTCTCTTCCCTGAAACCCTCTGCTGAAAAACTGGCAGTAATGGTTTTGCCTTCTCTATCAGGGTTGAGAGCAAAAGGGGAACAAGTCAGAGCTCTCCATCCCACTACTACATTCCCTGCTGAAGCCATCGGGGCTTCCCATATGCGTCCCAGCACAGTGAGCTGGAAAGCAGAGCCCGGCAGGAGCCCTGCCTTAATGTCTTCCCCTAGGAAAAAAGACTTGGCAGTTAATTAAAATGATTGCTAATGATGCAAAAATAAGGCCATGGGTGGGAAACCCAAACTCGCCTGCACCAGGCTCGTAGAGCATCGTTTGATGGAGCTGCCTGTGGGCAGACCTGCTGCTCACGGGGATGTTCATTGGGCTGCAGCAAGGCCCACGGTGCTGTCTCAGTTTTCATCCTCATAAGCAGAGTAAGGAAACTTCTACTAGAGGGGGCACCAGAGGATAAATGCTCAACGGGCAGCAAGCTGTTGCTTGAGAGCAATTATCCTTTGCCCATCATCAACATGGGAGGAGTGAAATGGGTTCCCACCATCCCAGCTCTGAGCACTTCATAGACACAGATGCCCCAGGTGCCAGAGCCAAATTAATTAGGGGTCTCCAAGCCCCAGCACATGGAGCAATGCTAAGGTTTAAAAGCTGTTGTAAAATACCACCATTGCCTTCTCACGTTGTGTTCTTCGTGCAGTAGATGTGGGTTACTGCAAACATTGTCTGGTGATTTGGGGTTGTTGATCACCTTCAGCTTGTGAAGGCAGCTCATCCCAAAGCCCACAGCACACTAAAATCTGTGTGCACAGCTGGAACATTGGGGTTGCCCCTGAACCCTAAGAGGACGGTGCAGCCCCCAGGACCGCAAGAGATTTGGGAACAGGTTGGACTGCAGAGTTGGGATGCAGGGGTCCGAGCAGTATGATAAAAAATGATGCTTGCCAAAGGGGCTGTGGATGCTGATGTTCAGATCAAGGCACGACCGCCCTCCAGACATGCTACCAAGCCTTCAATAATGGCTCTGCTCTGCAACATGGGGCACAGGGAGGCTGGAGAGCAGGCTGCAGAACAGAAGCACAGAGCAGCCCTTGCTGAAGGCACTCCTAGAGCAGCAACCAGTCCTCCAGATGAGCCACAGCCTCCACAGGGGATGACACAGATCCCACATATCCACAAATTCCAGGCCTGAGGACAAGCCGAGCCAACAAGCCCGGCTCAGTGTCACCTTCCTTTGCTCCAATGTACACGAAAATCCAGCTCCCTCTGCCGGCTTTGCTCCTAAAACAAATTAACTTTCAGCTCCAGAGGATCACAGTGGAACAAGAGCCTTTGCACCCGGTAATCCCATAAGCTCCAAGAATCTCCTGACTCATGCAGGGAATCAAGGATAAAGCCATACGAGTGCAGGGTAGTGGGGCTCAAACTCCTCTCATGGTCCAAGCTCCTCTGGGTGATGCTCCCCAGCCAGTCAACTTCTTCTAACAGCAGCTTCACTGCATCCCACATACACTGAGGGCAGCCCCACATCTGCTGTCTGTTGTGGGTTGCAGGAACCTACTGAGAGCTTCGGGACTCCAACGTATTCCTAACGCAGCAACCTCCCAGCTGCTCCTGCAGACCCTGGTCAGCATAAGGAGACATGACTGGTACTGGGAAAGGGTTGACCTGAGACATTAGCACCTGCTGTGAGCATCTGGGAGGCAAGAACGTGTGTGATGCCTGTGACATTTGCTCAGCAGGAAAAAGTCATCTTTTCGAAACGGAAAATACAGATCAGAAAGAGAAGAACAGGAATAGGGAAACAGACATTGGGCACACCAACTTAAGGCTGGAGCTTGCAAGAAGGTGACATCACCCAGCTCGGGGCACCCCTGGGGCAGACACAGAGCTCCTGTGGCACACCGTAGCCAGGTACATCATGAAGGTGCATATCACTAGCTGCTTATATGGACTCAGCCCCTGAAATTTGCTGGAGGCACTGCCCAGCCTTGATCTGCTGGGGTAGGACCCACGTCTGGTGCCTCAGGAACCATTCTGTGTTAAAGGTGTAAAAGCCCTCACAGAGCTCTCTTTGTTGCTGATGTATGCTGAGCCACGGTGTCCACAGGACCTCACTGCTGTCTGTGGGGATGCTGAGCCCCGCTTTGCACAACGCCCTCAGACACTGAGTTTGGATTATGAGCTCTGTGTGGAGCCAGGAGTTGGACTCGATCCTCGTGGGTTCCTTCCAAGATGGGATGTTTTGGGATTCCAGGATTTCGTGGCCTCTTCCCTGTTACAGGCTGGGGACAGAAGGTCCCACCTGCAGCGTTCACTTGAGGTCAAGGAGCTCAAAGCCAGAGATGCTGCTGGTCCCAGCACCCTGCGCAGCTCATCTGGGTGCCCACGGCAGACAGCAGCGTCCCGCCTGACCACAGCATACCTTCACAATCTCCTGTGCTATCTGCCTCGTCTTGTTGACATCCAGGACGATTTTGGCGTCTCTCACCACCGAGTAGAGAGTCCGTCCTTTACACAAGCTGGAAGGACAGAAAAAGGGAGAAAGCTGACAAACTCCTGCTGAGCAAAAATCCCCTAATTTCAGCATCAGTGGTAGGGGTTACACAAATTGCTGCCAGAGGCCCCCATCCCCAGGCCCCAGCCACCAGCTGGACCTCTCCCTGAGAGCTTTGTGCCCACATCTCCTCCCACCTCTTCCCCTGTGGGATACAATGCTCACAGATGTAACATGAGTCAAAAGAGGAAAGACGGGGAGTAAGGGAAAAAAGAAAACACACAAAAAACCCCAATGCACTCTACAATGTCCTCCAATTTTCCTTCTTATACCAATTACAGTAAAATCTATTTACAGAGCCTTAATTACCAAAGGCAGCTGTGGATGGGGGGGGGGGGACACATAAACCAATTAAAAATATATTGACATCTGAATATCATAATGGAAGACGTGGGTGGATGCTGCCTTGACTCCCACCCACCAAAAAAAAAGGGCTTTTTTAGCTCCTCTGCATCCACCCACACTCATTATAGGCAACTCTAGAAAGATAGGACTGGATACCTGTGCCCAGGAAACAAAGCACCAGGCAGGCGCGCCTCTCGTTAGAGAGGCTGTGAGCACAGCTGTTAATTGATCTCGTTATCGAACGTGAAGACAGGTTCTCATTCCCATCCTCCCGCCCACCGCCAGCCCTTGGTTTGCAAACCACAAGGAAATGTCTGGATGCCCACAGATTTCTACCAAATTTGGGGCTCACCTCCAGAACGGGGGGGAAAGCTGTGCTCCCGCAGTGCTTTTGAGGTTTGAATGGGTTGCGGTTGGGATTGATCCTTGCTTGCTCCTTCCAAATGGGATCACAGCTCCTGCAGCCCCTCCTGCCCCAAAGCCAAGAGCGGCTCACAGGCACCATTTCCAGGTGAGGCAGCTAAGCAGGAATGGGAGCAATCCAAAATTTCACCACTTTGGGCAAGGCGACAGCATCTGTCAGTGCACCTCATTGCTGCTGTGTTGGAAGGCAGCAGCGCCAGCCCCTCCTGGGGCCACTCTGCCTCCTTCCACCCAAATCAGACACTTTACCTGCTGGAATGGTTTGGCTGCCATTATAGACAAACAAGAGCTTTTCTGAAGTGCTCTCAATACAGCTTGGAAATAAGTGATAGAGGAAATCTCTGCCCTTGGTTTTCTGCAGCGGGAATTAAAAGGTGCAAAACAGTAATATGGGTGTGAATTCTCTTTCCATGGAGAGTTGTTTTTGTTTTGTTTTGCACTGGTTTGCAAAATGGACCTGTGGGGCTTAGGCTGCAGGATGCAATAGGCTCCCTGCCCCTCACACACACAGCCCAGCTCTCCACGATCCCAAGAAAACACTGGTTTCCCTCCGGAGCAGTTACCCAAAGTTGCTTATGGGTTGGGTTAGTCATGAATCAATGTTACAGATCAAACAAAGAGCTTAGTGCTGGGTCGGGCTGTGATTTCAGCCCTGGAGTGAGTTAAGATCGGCTGTTTGCCTGGGAAAAGGGCTCAGTAGGAGAAAAAAAACCTCCAATTTCTGCATCTCTAAATGACAGTGGTAACCCACAGCCCCTTTCCAACAAGATTCCCGTCTCTTTCGTCTACAGGCAGGAGGAATTCATTGAACAAGTCATTGGCCACACATGCCATGAGCTTGGTGCGAGGACAGCAATTGCCAGTGGGACATGGCACTATAGGACGCGGCATGGTAGAGTAAGGACATGCCAGCACCACTCCTCCAGCCCCAGGGATACAACCCCATGACTCACTGCTCACATTCCCCTGATGAATAACTCTGACTTAATTGCGAGCGATGCCAGTGCAGCCACAAAGCCCCGTTTGCACCTATTATGCAGCACCTGAGCCTATTGAACCAACACCTGCAGAACCTTTTCATGGCAGCTCTCAGTCATTCGGGCCCTTCTCATTCCTTGCCTTTCTGCTTGGAGAATTCACTGCTGAAAGGCTGTGGATGGCGTGTGACACCACAGCGTGACACTGAGGACAATGGCACCTGAGCTGTGCTTTCTTTTGGATCCCAGCTCATCAATATCTGAAGAGCACATCCGTAAGCAAGCATTCATCTCTTCCACCTGAACCTCTTTATTTGCACCCACCAGCAAAGCAGGCAAGGTGGTGACACGAGACCAAACCCAACCAGAGCCATGGGGAGATGCTCAATGACTCCAACCCATGGTCTCTTGGCCCTCATATCAACCTTAAATGTCCCCTTGCAGCCCCCCCAGCCCCAGGACAGCCTGGCCCCATCCCACTGCAGGTGCTCACTATTCAAAATGAGTTTCTGAAGTGTTCAGCCAAGCAAACCAAATCCCAAATTGCTTTATAAACATGCTGCATTTCACCAGTGTGGGCTGGAAACATCAGCAACGGGAGCAAAGTCAAAGCGACTTGCAGAGGAACAATTCAGGAGGGATGAGCCAGGGAGAGCAGCAGCACTGCCTCGCAGTATTTTTCTCATTTGATGCGGAAGCAGCCTCATCCTCCTTGCAATATTGATGGTCATCAGCTCAATAGGGTCTAAGACCTCAGCCCAGCTCCTGCTCACTCATGCTGGAATAAATTCAGTGCCGATAGCACCTCAGTGGCTGCGCTCGGGTCGTGATGCCATTACTTTAGTAGGATTTTTGTGCTTTCCTTCACTCTGCCCAACCATCGGCGCAAATGTCACGGGGGCCCATTAAATGAACACCCCAAAGTGATAAATGCCAGACCCCAAGAAGCTCATTGCTCGCTGCTCAATTGATTTATGGGAAGCGGCTGAGATGCCATGGCGATGGCCAGCATCCTATGCCCAGGGGAGAGACAGAGAGTGAGAATTAATAACAAGGGTTAGCAGCAACAGAAAACTGAGAAATCCCAGTGTCACTGGGGCACACCAAAGCTCTCCCCTCAGCCACCCAATGCCCTAAAACCAAGCACAGACACACTCCTGCCCCAGGACTACATTCACTTTGTTTCCTGCCCAACTGCCATGCCCTCTGGGAGCCGCCTTTCCTCTCCACACCCATTGTTTTGCCAAACTCTGTGGGCTCTCCTTCCTCCTGGGGACTGGAGGCACACAAACACTCTTTTCAGTCAAAACAAAGCATCAACCCCAGGCACTGCAAGAGCCCTCCTTCCGAGCAGCATCCTCCCAAGCCCAGACCCTCCTGGAGCATCACTTGAGGGGGAAAAACCCCCAGGAAAAAATCCAGCTCCTATGTGAAGCATACTAGGGCTGCACAGCCGGGCTCTCCTCGGCTTTATCAGCCAGGAAACACTTGTTTCCAACCTAACACCTCCCAGAGCTCTGGCAGCCAGGAGCCAGCCACCAGCAGCAAGGCTGCAGCCCCACAGCCAAACTGCCCCAGCACGCTTTGTGCGGAGCAAAGTTAGCAGGGAGCTGTGAAGGTGCACTGTTGTGCTCGTCCCCGACTGCATCCTCCCTACTGTCCTGGGATGGGAGCAACAGACACAGCTGTATTTTCCTCCTCGGCATTACAGAGTAAGGCTGGGGGAGGAGGAGGGAGAGCAGCCTCCCTGCAAAGTGCCTCCAAGCCCATCACGCCTTGGGAAGCAGCCAGTTATTTAGAAAAAGCAAACTCCATGCATTTTTATTTCAAGGAGATAGTGGCAGAGGAGGCGAGCTCTGCTACAGCTGCTTGCAAAGCAGCTCCAAGGCAGGGGAATGCAAAGCAGCCCCTGTCCCCAGCGGCAGATCTGCTGCGAACAAGTGGTGCCCGAATGCTGCATCCCTCATTCCAGCACAAAGCACCACAGACACCACGCCGGTGCCCATCTCAGCCCCAGCCCCTCCCCTCTCTGGGTATTTCGGTCTCCCCAGCATTGCCATTGAGCATCACTGTCTGCGGGCAGAAGATATATGCTCACTTAATGTATGTATTAATACACATATTGACTTTCCCTTTGTCAGTCGTTATCAAGATTTATCCAGCCCGATGGCCTCTTATTGATTGAGAAGAAGTGTATTCCCACGGGTCAATCCATTCTGAACCATCCAGTGGCAAGAAGTCAATACCTATTTATTATATGATCTACGAGCTTCATTACTCTAAATGCTATGGAAAGCGAAAGGTGGCAGAAGCCAGAGCAGAAAAACAACAGAAAAGGGAAGGAGGCTGTTTGCCAAAGCTGGTGTTGGGGGACTCAAGCGTGGGGAGGTTCATAGGAGGCAAAGCCTTGCACCCTAGAGAGAGAACCCCGTCCTTCACACCCCATTAAATATTCATCCCCAGCTCCCTAAGCATTAAGGTCTACAAGTCCCAAATCCTGTGCACCTGAGCCGGGATGTAAATGTCAGGAGGTGAAGATCTCCCCTTATTCCCATAGTGCAGAATTATTGGGTCTTCAAGTGCAGAGCTCCCAGGCGCTGCGTTGCTGCCCCTGCAGCCCATTCAATCATTGTGAACACAAAACCCTTTCATTCCTTTTCCATTTGGTCCCAGACCAAGCATGGTTCAGGACATCCCTATGCTCTCCCCATCTCTAGATGCTCTCAGTTTCGCTGTTCATCCTCAGCACCACAGGGACTGGCTACGGGATGTGCTGGAGATGCTCCATCTGCAGAACAACTCAGAGTTCCTCTGTTGAAAGGCACCTTCGACAAATTAATCCTCCTTACGTAGCCCTCATCAGGTCAATTCATAATGTTCTTCAGCCATCTCCTCGGTCTCCCAAGAAATCCCGTGTACCAAATTGCTCAGCCCCACCCCCGCGTTCAGAAAGGGCCCACAGGCACTGAAATGTGGGCTCTCACTCCCTGCTTTGCAGCAGCGAAGGGCTGTGGGGCTGCTTCCCGCAGCTCCATGCTCATCTTACAGCACCACGCTCCCATCGCTCGTGCTCAAGAATAATTAAGATGAATGCTAACTGTCCCTACTGCTCATTACCCAAGAGAAAATCCATTAGCAGCTCCGGCGGAGCCACCACCGTGCAAACCACCACTGAATTCCCACCAGCAGCCCAATCTCTCCCTTTCCCTGACACTCAAGGATGCATCTCAGGGACGAAGCAATGGTTAATGCTGCAGTTTCCCCACCGCCCCCAGCATCCCAGGCCACTGCCATCACCCTGAACAGTGGTCCAGGATACTCCTAGTCCAGCTGATGTCACATCGTCCTCTCACCGCAGTGCCCAGCCATTATCTCTGCCCTTCACCATGAAGGAAGATCCTCCAAGGCTGCATTATCTGCTATACCTGCTACTCCAGCAAACAACACTGGATAAGGAGACGTCCATGAAGCAGAGATCATTAGGACTGTGAGCACGCAATACTCAGAGATGCCACAAGCCCAAGCTGTATCCCAGGCAATCGCATAACGCCGTACTTAGACCTTACAAAGGACCGAGTGCAGGTGGGGAAGAAAAGAAAGCTGAGCTGTGTGCTTTTCAGCCCTAATATCAATGCATCAAGCCACTGTGGCGCACACATTTATTTTGTCAAACTGTCAAAAACGGCACCTGAGTGGTTTTGTATAAAGAGGTAATAGGATGGAAAACACTCCAGAGCTAAAATATACGTAGATATCTAACACTCCATTTCTGGGATTGAATAGGACTGAAAAGCCCAGCAAAGGGCTTGCTGCTTTGATACAGCAACACAGACTTTCTGGAAATTCAACTTCACCTTGGGAAAACTTCTCTGAGCAGCACCACAGCAAGCCCTGCAGCAGCACACGTAGGCTGGAGGTGAGGGAAACAGCTGAATATTCAGAGAGAAATATATTTTAAATGCTGTCACGTTAGGCCTCAGTGAGCAGGAGACGAGGGGTAATTCAAAGTATTTCTCCAGCAGTGCCTCTGTGACTGCGCCGAAGGCAGCATCTCCCTCCCCTGGCCCCATCCCAAGCTCACTTTGAGTCCCACACACAATTATTGGTGTACCGTGGGGGCAAATACTTTGGGAGAGACAGGAAATGCTCCAGCAGACCATAACTCATCTTGCAAGGTCTTGGGATCGAGGAGTCCCCACAAATGAGCTCCAGCTCCTTGGAGCCCCTGCATGTGCTCCATTTTCTCCAGTTCTGCTGCCCTCCTGCCTTTCCATGAATGATTTGGCACCACATTTGCACTCTGTTAATCCTTCAGATGCCAAACCATCCATTTTCTCAACACCAAGTTATTCACAAAACCTGCTGATCGGTGTTTTCCATGCTCCAAACCCCATCTCCCATTCACACACAGACCCAGGAGCCATGCAAGAGCTCCATGGAAATAGAAGCTGCTGACCCCATCCCACAGCCAGCCCCCCACTGAGCTCCTTCTGATGAAAACAAAACACCAGGCTCCACTTCTAGAAGAGATGCATCACGGGAGGTTCATTACCAGAAAGAGAGGAGGTCCCTGTAGGGCTGGAGGCTGGCATGGCCAAGTGGAGGATATCCCTTTAGGGACAGAGGCTGGCATAACGAGCTGGAATTTGTCCCTTTGGGGATAGAGATTGACACAGCCATCTGGGAGACTGGCAAGCCTCACCTCTCAGCACCTCGACGAGAAGCTGATCACATGAGAAATCATTCTGGGATGAAAACCTGACGGGGTCACGATGCTGGGTCTCACCTGGTGATGATGGCAAGGTGTGGAGGGCTCATGCAGGCTCCCATGAAGAGCACCACGTTCTCGTGCCGCGTCTGCCGGTACGCCATCACCTCCCTCTTGAAAGCCTTCAGCTGGTCCTCGTTGTCCCGCTCGATGTCGATGAGACGGATGGCCACTTCCCCGTGCCAGCGGCCATGGAAGACCTGCCCAAAGCGGCCCTTGCCAATGAGCTCACCGATCTCCAGCTGCTCAAAGGGGATGTCCCACTCCTGCAGGAAGATGCTGGTCTGGCTGGCTTTGCGGGGGAAGTTGCGGGCGGAGAGGAGCGAGAGGTTCATCTCCTCAAAGTCATCCTCTGACTCCTGAGCCTCCTCGGTGCCTTCCTCATTCTGTGTGGGGACAGTAAGGTGGACACGTGGGGAACAGCACCCGTCTGCCACCTGGGCATTCAGTGGGGCTGCATCGTGCAACGTGCCATAAAGCGGGAAATTGCTGCCAAGGAACATCCTCAAACCCTGCCCCTACGTCAAACTTTTGTGTCTCATAATATCTCTTTGATTATAAACCTGAGGGCAGACACAAAGCCCACATGGGATCCACTGCATGGGGTGGGACACAGGTGCAGCACGAAATCCCAGAATCATCCAGGTTGGAGAAGACTAAATCCAACCACCAAGCCGACCTACTGAGACCCATCACTGGTCCATGTTCCGCTGTGACTGGGCAGGACAGGTCTGGCTGATAATCAGGTTATCATCTGGTTCCCATGAAACATGCCCTGAAATACATATAATACAGGTGCCAACAGAACCCAAGGCTAAGCCCAAACAGTTCTGTGAGTTGTATCTGGAGGTGTACAGATGACGAAGGCATCAAAATGCCAAGCCCCCGTTCCCTGTCTTAATCAGCTGCAGCTTCTGAACTTTTCCTTTCACTCCTCATGCAAAACACACAGCATCTCACCTCTGACGTGGGCTCCACTTCAATTTGAAGTAATGGATTTCCTTCCAGGCTATCAAAAAAAAAACAAACAAGACACAACAACTACAGCATGAAAACTGACATTAGGTACATCATCTTCCCAAGGGATGCAAGAAGTGCTTGCTGATCTTTAAGGCATCCCTATCCCTACAACTTCCCCAAAAATAAGTTAGCATCCTTCAGACCCCAACAGGTGATCCCAGCCACTTAAACCCCTCTCTTTCAAACCCTTCCCAAATGGCATTTCCAAAAGGACATCACTCACATGGGGTTGGATGTGACGGGGTGCAAGACCACCTGTGGGGCTCGGGTTGGCGTCTCAGGCACCACATCTAGAGAGGAGAGAGTGCAGTGAGAGTAGGATAGGGAGCAAAGCTCCAAAACCTTGGGACATGCCCTTGTGCTATTCAGTCTGGTTATGAATTAGCATCCCCTAGCCTGCGGAACCTTCAGAACGCATGGTTCAGCAGCAAGGTGTCAGGTTTTGGCAGAACCCCATCTTCATGCAAAATCCAGCCATGCACCCACCCCCAGTGAGGTGGAAGGTGAGCTGGGTGGATCTTGCCCATCTCCAAGGGGACACTCAGTACTCTGCACCATAGGAGAGACTTTTGAGGAGACATACCTGGGAAAATGAACTGCTGCTTGTACTTGTAGTAATGGGAGGCTGCAAAAGAGAGAGTGGGCTTAAGCACTGACCCTGACACCATGGGTCTGTGCCCAATCCTCTACCATGAGATCTGACCCCGAGCACAGCTCCTGCCCACATTGTGGGAACAGAGATAATGCAATCCATCCTGCGCACGCTCCCTCCCCAGCTCCATAAATATATTAAATGTGTGCAGAGGTATTTTCCCTCTCGCATTTCCTCCTTATATACCGTATTGTAAGCTCTTCTGTGCTCTGTGCCTGTACAAATGCCAAGCCCACAGGCAGCGCTGGGGGACGACGCCACAACAGTCAGGTTAGCAGCTCATCATGCTAAAACTTCCCTGCTTTGTGCCAGCATCAGCAACTCCTTCACACCAGTAATTAACATTTGGGGAGAGATGATGCTGCCCGTGGGATTTGAATGCTCAATTGCAAGCAAAACCCATGGGCTGTGAACATTGCGACTCGTCCCACAGACACCAGGCAGTGAATTTGCAGCTGTTGCACCTGTTTTTGCTTGATCCTGCATTTCTAAATGTAGGTTTTTGCCAAGCATTAGGGAAACATCCTTTCAGCACAGGGCTGCATCCCTCCTGGTGCATTTGGACACTCATCTGTATGAGCACAAGGAACAAAGACAAACAGGGCTGCTGAGCCTACCAGAGGTTAGCACCTTCTTAGTGCCTTGGTCTTATCCTGACCTTCAAGATCCCAAATACAAACTCTCGGCTTCTCCTTTTGAGCTTTGAGACCTCAGAGCATCATCAACTCCACAGAGGGACCAGAGCAATCCTGATCCAAGATCAAAGGAGACCCAAAGGTAATTCTAGGGGAAAAAGTCACCATGTTGTGATTTCCCAGCTCAAATTCTAATTTTCAAGATGACCATCTCACCGAGGTCGCTCTGATCTTCCCACACAGAAAGTTGAAAGCATGGTAAGTCCTGCTTTGTGTCCTGCCAGCTGCTGCTCACACGTGCAATGGGTTGGAGCTCCATTCCTGCCAGCCCAGTACAAGCCCAGGTCCCCCAGGTGCCAACTATGGGCTTTCCTTCTGATTTCCATTTCAAACAGCACAAAATAAATCCCCATCCCTGGTGGTGCTCAATGCCAGGTTGGATGGGGAAATGCAGGAGGAACTCAACCACCTGGCCCCCACCCCACCGAAGATGAGGCCACATGGAGGTGACATGGAACCAACGAGTTTCACCGGCCCTGTTTCAGTCACGGGTGTCTGAGCGCCTCGAGGCAGAGCCTAGGCTCCCTCTGTGCCCAGTTCTGTGGAATATCTGCAGAAGGTGGACACATCTGGTACCTGGCAGGTTGAACTGTTTCTGCTGGCGTGGGCACTGCGGGGATGGGTGCAGCGGGGACGGCGGCGTGGCGCTGGGTGGCAGTGGTGGGGCCGGCGAGGATGGCGTGGAGGAGGTGGTGGAGGAGGGATTGCTGCTGGAATCCGGCTGGTAGGGCACCGGGATGTGGTCCTGGGGAGGGGAGAGGATGAGGGCAGTGCTGACAACGGCACCACAAGGTGCTGCCACGCAGGAGACACCAAGGAACAAGTAGTAGCGACATGGTTCAACCCACTGCTACAGTCTGAGAAGGTCTAGAGGACAACTGGAGCCCCAGCCTGACTTTTTTTTCCTGTGTGCGTACTCAGAATTTGCACCAAGGCTGCTCCTTCCTTGCCAACCCCTCTGTGCTGCGCACCCAGAGATGAGAGCACTCCAAATCCATAAAGCTGGGGACAAACATTCCTGCAGTTTGGTCCTTATGGGTGTAATGAACCTGGCAGCTTCTGCTGACCTCTGTAAGCCAAAATCCACCGTCCTAACTGGAGCACAGGCTGATTCCCGGCAGGTTTAAAGAACCAGGCAAGGCTCTCCAGGCAGCACCTGGGCATCGCAATGCACCTGCGCTCCATTAACTGATCCTGCTCAAGGCTGGGACAGCTGTGATGGGCACACGGATATGGGGCACTGAGGGCCACCTGGGGGCAAAACAGCAAGGAGGACCTGAGGGATCTGAGCATCTGAGAAGAAAACAGAGACTTTCCCCACCTCATCCATGCTGCTCATTTTGGAGACATTCTGCAAGCTCTGATTTTCCACCTCCAGAAGCATACACCCATGGGAAGACCTGCCAGCCTCCCTGGTCGGTATTTTGTCCCAGTTGATGAGGTTTTAAATGAGCTGGGCTTCTCAGGAACGCCACCCACACTCTGTATGGTCCATCCTGACACACACAGCAACCTTGGCTTGGTTTAAACAAAGGCCAAATGCTAAAAAAAAAAAAGTGATTCCTCTGCTACATGCAGAAAATGGGATATCTCTAGAGAAATACTTTTGGAAACATCAAAGAAAGGAGGGGTCCTGAAGCATGAAGCATGTAAGCCCTACTGGGAATGGGAGTGCTGGGGTCACAGCCTCTGCAGAAGCATAGGGACCATTTCCAGCTGCTGCTGATGCAGGCGTTGCTATCGGTCCTCCTTAGTAATGCCCCGTTGCCTCCTCTAAGCTGAGCACAGTTCATTGAATTTGCATATGCACATGTATATTAGGACATATATCTATATATCTTGGTGAGTGAATGAGTCTCATCTGTGGTTTTCAGAGCATAAAATACAGAGTGCATTATTACACTCTGGTTAGAGGTAAGCTGAGGAAGGAGCTGATGCAGTGGCAGAAGGAGCGCAGTGCTGATTGCCCTCCTTGCCCCAGCCCAGTGCTGAATCACTTCCCCAGTGCCCTCTAATAAAATAAAAGAGCATAATACCTACATGAAACAAATCACTTGAAGGACCTGCACTGAAAAGAGAAATGCCTCTGTGCTCCTGTTGGCTCCTGCAGCAGCTTTCATCCTCCCCAGGTGCCCCCTAAGCCATTTGCACCACACCAGAGCCACAATAACAGCAAGGCAGATAATTACACCGAGGATCTCCTAACAGCTCAGGGTGTAAGGACTGCAACAGGCTCTAAATCTCATCTAATATAAACCCACGCTGGTTTATTATGATTAATGTAGTGTAGAGAAAGGGAGCCAGGTGCATTGCCAGGGCTGGCTTGGCTGGGTCAGGGACATGAGACTTAGGCAATAGCTCTGATCCCATGTGATTTTTGAGCCATTTAAAATAAATAAGGTTGGTAGACATAAAACACACAGAGTATCCACAGAGGTGCTGTGATGTGCCTGAAGACTTGCAGAGCCCCAGTAGATGCTACAGCAATGGGAAAACCCAAAGGACCCCTCCTGCTCCAAGCATAGGGCATGATGGTTTTTTTGCCTTTCGTACATTGCCTTCCCTACATCCCTTGCCTTTCAATGCTCTTCTCCCACATGGGGTTTAAACTCCTTCAGTGATCTTTGAGGTCCCCTCCAACCCAAGCCATTCAGTGATTCCATGGCTTTGATGCCCTGGGTGGGTGATGAATGGACCCAGAGAAGTGGTGGCCAAAACCCCAACAAAAGCACTCAGATTTTGGGGATGTGGAGCCTGATCCCCTCTTGGAGAGCACAGAAGGGAACGATAGGGGAACAGAACCTCCGTAGCTGCTGGGGGTCAGAGATGGGTGGGCACGCACTCACCTTGTTGAGCTTGTTGGTTTTGGGGAGCGTCTGGCTGACGTGCAGGTCCGAATAGCGCGGGGGCTTGCGCAGGGGGTTGTTGATGTCACAGGGCACCGACTCGGTCCGCACCAACCGTGCTGCGAGGAGAAGGGAACAGGGAACGGGGATGGAGAGGGATGGGGAAAAAAAAAGAGAGAGTCCCAACGATGTAAAGAGGCATTTGGAAAAGAGCAGCTGCCACCAAAGCCCAGTGTGAGCCATTTCCCACCCAATGCCACCATCCATCCTCCTCCTCGCGGTGGGCAGGGAGCCGGCTCAGAGCCTCCCGCTCGCAGCAGGGACCTTTCAGAAGCTTTGGGAGAGGGTTATTGCATTCATGTTGAACGTTGGCTTGCAGGGACTACCCCGAAGGTGGGCAGCTCCAGTGCTCAGCCCAATTCTGGGGATTCGCCCACCTCCACGCCAAACTGCCTTGCAGGGCGCCACCAGCACAATGCGTTTCCCCAGGGCTAAAATACTGAGCATGCTTTGGGCAGTGTGTAACACGCTCATTAGCTCAAAATTAAATGCAGAAATTGGAACTGGCACTGCAAATATTTCCCCTAAAGCAGTCTCAGCCCTTCATCCTCCACCATCAGAGCACCTGGCCAAAATCTGGAAGAGAAGAGGTGGGAAGGGTTCTCCAGCTGAACATCTCCTTTTGGGCTTACCAACGCGCCCAAATTTCTGAATTTCTCTGTATTTCCAAATTTCTGAATTTCCAAGCATCTCCAATTTTCTCTGTATTTCCAATGAGCTCTCGGGACAGGCAGCTCTGAAAGCATCATGAGAGCATCTGGAGGGGCGCAGCCGGGACCCCCATGCACCGAGCGCCGCAGCGGGTCCGGTCCCACGCCCTGAGCTCTCCAAAGCAAAAGGCTGAAACCTGTTGGCACTTACCCCGTGCGGTGGGGAATCTGAAAAGAAAAGGTGGCAGGGGGAGGGTGGGTGGAAGCGGTTTGCAATGCAAATCTGCCTCGCCCCGCACGGCTCGTCTCCCTACAAGCGGAAAAGACGGTCGGTAAAATTTTCACAGAGCGCCCAAAGCGGTTTCGGGAGCCTCGAGATGGAGGGTCGGGCTCCCGAAGTCGCCCGGGGGCTTCTGAAAGTTTTACCTGGCGAGAGCATCCCGGGAGGCAGAAGCGGAAGAAAGGCCCTTACCTCCGCGGTGGATGATGAGCAGGTGGCACGGAGGGGCCTCTTTGGTGCATTTGTTGTGGCACTTGAGCCTACAGCGGAGACAGAGAGAGAGCCGTAAGGGGTGGGGATGGATGCGGCCTCCAGGGCATCGCCGCATGCCTGGGGACCTTGGGGACGCCACGGTCCCATGGGTGAGCAGCCCAGCACGGTCCCTGAGTGATATTTCTAATGTTGAACCCAAATAATGAGGGCATCGTAGGCATGGTGGTGAACACTCTGTAGAGTCAGAGCCCAGGAGGGCTGCACCCTGTGGCTGCGCATAGAGCAACAGCAGCTCCCACGCCTCAAAACGTTCCTGTTTGTTCCCAATTAGGGGTGGAAAAGAGTCCGCTGGATGGGGAGAGCCAGGGGAAAAGGGGGAAAAAAGAGAACAGGATTCAAAAGCCATCCGCAAAGGAGGAAAAACAGCAGCAGCTACAAGTCAATGAGCTGGGTAATGAAAATTCAGGAACCTCGCATGTTGGCTTTTATTGCAAAGCCATTCCTTAAGGGAAAGGCAGAGATTAATTTGGTATTCGAGACTTGGGGGCTTTTTTTTTTTTTTTTCTCTCTATTTGTTTGATTTGCCTGTTACAGGTGTGGGAAAGTAGCACTGGGCTGCGTGCTACGCAAAAGTCAGCAAATAGAAATCCTTTCTAAAAGCATGGGATGCGTTTGCTCTTTTCTAAGCAAACACGGGAAGCAGGAGCAGGGCACATCCTGACCATTCTCCAGCCCTCATACAGAGGGAAAGGGTGAAAGTTTCCCAAAGAAACGAGGCGATGCATGCAGGCGGCATTCGGCGCTCAAGGGAAAAACAAGCAGAAGAATCACCACTTTTTTTAAAAAAAAAAACAAAACAGAATTTTTACTATCGTTACTTCCAGAAAGCCCTCACCACCACCACCACCACCCAGACCCAAGCAATAATTCTGCATTCCCTACCCCGATTCCAACCCCCATTTGCTAACTCATCAGCATTTAATCAGCGGCCCCAGCGATCGTTATCGCTTGATAGCCCTGCTAACTCAGTTACCAGCAGACAATCAGCAAATTCCCAGCACTGATCCCTAGCAAGGCAATTGGGCTCCAGCAGCAGTTCCACTAAGTGCTGATTCCTGCTCGATACGGCCCGGGGCTGGGCAGTCCTGCATTTAAATGGCATTAGTGCGCGCCTCGCTATCTTTGTCCATCTCCTGCTGACTTTATGGACTTCACCACGGTCCCACTTCTTTGCTGTGGGTTTGGATGGGTCGCCACACACTTGCTGGTAAACAGAAGGCTTTTGTCCCTCAGACCTCCGCTCAGCCCCATGCTGGGTGTTTTCCCACTTCCCACTCAGTTTAGGGAGATGCTGACCCCCTCCCATCTCCAAACCCTGCCCCTTTCCACCACTGCAGCTTCACCATCCAGGAGCTGCAGCCCACAGAGCTTCGTACTTGCAGTTTTTGCACTTTAAGCCAAACAACATTCCTTTCCCGCAGACAGTGCAGGTCTGGGACATCCAGTACTTGGTGGAGAACCTGCAGAAAAAAGGCATTGAATGGTTCCTATGGCACAGACATCCAGATGTGTGCCAAGCCACGATTTATCCTTTGCTTTACACAGAGAAATGCAGGGGCACCTCTCTAAAGATGCCAGAGCACATCCCTGGGTCTGCCTTCGGGTTATGCAGAGCCTGCTACAAAGCACATCAAAGCGGGCACCAAGGAGAACAGCCTGGTTCTGAACCCCCCCCCCAGATTCAGCACTCAGCCTCCAGCCTACACCGAGGTTATTTCAGCTCTACGCCCTCCCTCAAGACAGGCAATAAACTGGAAATGGGAAATTTGCTGAAGGTTGGAAAGGTCACGGCCAACGCGTGGCTTTTATTGATAGCAGCTCAAGCCTTATCTGACCCAAATCTGAGCTGAAACGGCAGCACAGTGGGCTGCTGGCACAATGCAGCCGAGCAGGAGAAAGGGGGAACTTTTTGCAGAGCTCTGGTGCTGTGCAACGGGAGGACACAGAGACGCCCATTACACACAACACACTGTGCTGCAGGTCTGGGGGAGCAGGGATGGGACAGGGATAGCTCTGGTGTCCCCACTGGTTGCCCCCATCCTGCATACCTGTGCTTTATGGAGTTGCCCAGGTCTCGGCGGGGGATCTGTGGGGACCAGCGAGGCACTGACAGCGTATCTATAGAGGGCAAGATGGGGAAATTACCAGGGTTAATGCAGGAGAAAGCTGGAGGTGCAGAGGCACCAAAATACGAGGTTTTGCCAAACTTAGAGATATCCTGGAAGGCTCTTCATTTTTTCCCCAGAAAAAGACCCACTGAGCTTTGGGGGAAGTGGGCTCCTACCACTCCAGCAGCCTTGGGTCAGAGAGCAAGGCAGGAGGTGCAGCCACTTTTGAAGAAAGGCAAAATGAAGCACAAACGGCACTGGCACCATTTATTAATAAGACATCACGCCTCTCACTTGCATTTCTGGCTAAACAAAAAAAAGCTGAGCATCAGCCGCTTGGAAGCCAAGCGAACTCTTATCCAAACAGACAATCAAACCAGGAAAGCAGCCTCTGTGTACTTCAGCAGGGGGAAAGAGAGGAGAAAGGGCAGCAGGACCTCGGAGGGGTAAGAGAGGGGAGATGCGGGGTTGGGCTTCCGACAGCTGCAGCCCCAGCATCGGCTGGGCACGGGCAAATCCCTCGCTAAACACTCAGCGCGATCCCTGCCAGCGGCTGTTTGCTCTCAGATCCCACTTTAATATAGCAGGCAGCAGTGCACTGTAATTGTGCTCGGGCTGAAGGTTACATTTCCATGCCCACACCCATCGCCCTGCTACACAAAGCGTCTCCAAATCACCCCACACCACTCCTTTCCTGGCTTTTCCAGCCCTGGGGCACGGTTAGCAATTAAGATGTTTGAGGACTGCAAAGTCAATTAGGATAATTGCTGCCCCTGTAGCCCATTTTACACCATTGCCTATTGTATTTTTATTACCAATATTTTCGGCTCGTGTCTCTCAGCACCGCATCTCCATGGGGCGGATGCATCTTGGGGATGAATCTCAAAGCACTCTATCCCCTAAGTGCCATTTTCCCACACGTAAACCACAGGACACAAATAAAATCCCCCCCATCAGTCCCAATCAAACAGGCCAGAACAGCTCCTCTCCCAAATTCAATTACCAGCTCTGCTTTAAGCAGCCACAATTTATTTGCACCAACTTTCAGCTGGTCCCAATTAAATCCAGCCATCCCAGGAAGGGGGAGACAGAAAGATGGCCGAGGCTTTTAATTACCTTCTAAATGCGCTCATTGCAAAATTTATTAAAGTGTACTGGGGGGGGGAGGGTTAACTTCTCAACAAAAATGAGACCTGGATGCTTCATGGTTAGTTATCTCCATTACAGGGGATGAAGCGTGCAGAGCGGCGTGCCCAGCAACAGCACTGCTGCCTGCAGGAGGGGAGCAGCACCTGGCACAGCCCCCAGGATTGGTGGATCAGTACAGAGGGAAAGGCATTACAGCAAAGGTGAGATGACAGAAGGACCCGTGTGACAGGAAGGTGCTACAAGGGATGGAAAGAAGATTGCTCACACATATCAGAAGATTCCAGGTTCACAGGGGAAAGTTCCACCAAGGAAAGATCTCCAGAAAGAGAGCCTTCCCCAGTGGCAGCCAGCCTTCAATGAGGCCTAAGAGAGGTGCAGCCAGGCTCCATCCCTTCCTATCACACAGCTGAACTGCCTTCACCTGTGCTCCCAGGGCTGACCTGCTCCTTTCCCCAGGTGCTCCATCAGTGCTTCAGGCTGGGACTCAGCAGTTCCCATACACCTGTGCATATTTACCTGTGAGAAACAGATATTCCTCTTGTCTCAGGCATGATTAATTGAGGGCTGTGCCTAAGGGGAAAGTGAGGATGCCTCTGATGGATGCAAATTCTCCCATCCAAACCCCAAAGGCACCAGGATGAGAGGTGGTCAGAAGATAAAAGCTTGTGGCCACGGTGGGAGCAAAGGATACGTGCCATTGGTGCAACAGAAAGGCCACTGTGGGGTTGGATCCCATGCAGGTTTGGTATTGCTGTCACCCCTTTTTCAGCTGCACCCCATTCATACCAAGGGGACTTTATTTCCCCAGTGAAAGAGGAAAAGGAAAAGTTGAGTAGTGAAACCACCTCCTTCCAGAACCCTAAAAACTGGCCCCATGCTGGGTGCACATCCACCTCCATGAAGCATCACCAGCCCTGCAGCCGGGCTGCCGGTGCCCAGTGTGGCAGTCCTGCGCCCCAAAGCACCCCAAAACAACCACGTTTCCCACTGCCTCTCACAAACGGGCACGGCACGATTCATCTCAAGTCAGCAGCCCACGCCTGACGGCTATCAGATGTGCCTAGAGACAGAGAAGGGGACGGTGACAGCCGTGTCAGGTGCAGCAGTGACAGCGGACAAGGGGAGAGGAGCCCCTGTCACCTCGCAGCAGTGACAGGCACTGCTGATGGTTCCCTGAGTGGCACTCGTCGCGCGTCACAGGTGACGGGGCCGGGATGCTGCTGAGTGCTGATGGGGCCGTGACGCCCTCGTGGCCCCTGCTGGCTGCGGGAGGAGGATGCTGGAGCACCGTGCTGCATGGATAAGGGCAGGCAGAGCTGCCGGGTTTCATCTGTTTGGGGTTCCCGGCCTCTTTGGGGCAGATGGGGAGGGATGGGCTTGGGGCTCAGCTCACCCTCACCAAATGCGCTGGGAGCATCATCTGTGGGTAGGTGCACGGAATATTTTTGCATAATTCAGGCTAAAAAAGGCATCCAACATGCCTTCTTCTTTAGTGTACACAGGACTGAAACATGCCACATCCCTCGGGTTCATATGGACTTGTGTCACACCACAGCACAGGGATGTCCCTGCTTTGTCCCTGCTGGGGGTGGAAGGACGTTCCACAACCCTGCGGGCTGAAACTGAACCTCAGTTCAGCAGCAGCAGCTGAGGCAACCAAAGCAGAGCTATTCCCAGAGCATTTCTGGTTAAAAAAAAAGCATAAGTCACTTCATAATAACAGCAGTTCTCCTTTGCAGCATGACAATCCTATTTATTTTCCTAAACGTCATGTTTGGTCAGTTAATTGACTTAAATGCTGGAATCGTGATTTTTCTTCCCATCGGGAGCCTTGCAGGGCCGATCAGTCTCGCACAGAAAAAGCTGTGTGCTCAGGCTCAGTGCAGCCAGGATAGGAAACCCTACAAGAGCAAGGCTTGGTGTGCCCACTGCACATAGCTCCACACACCAGGGGATGCTGCATGGCTCCTGTCATGCCACAGGCCACAGAAAGAGCTTTTTCTGTGTGCTGTGGGAAGGCATTTAGCAAGGTCCTTGCACACAGAGACTTCACAGGTTGCTTCAGTTTGCAGAGGACAGGCTGCATGTTTTTCCCTCCTGATGCTTGCAGGGCACTGTGTTCAAATGAACTGGGTTGCATTGGATTCTCATTTTCTTCTGCTGGATTGGATACAGATGGAAGGAGAGCAGTGAGGACAGATGCTGCACATCAAGAGCCACATCCAAATGTCCTCAACGTCCCCCTGCCCACCACACCAGGGGAGGAAGCAGATACTTCTTTATCTCCATCCCCACCCCTGCAGCAGCACCAGCAATGGGTCAGGACCATGATAGTCCCCTGCTTATGGGCTCTCACCTGCTGCTCTCCCTTCTTTTACCTTCAGCATAATCTCACTGTCCTAAAGACTCTGGAAACGTTCAGAGTAATTGCATCTGCAAGCAACTCGAGCAAATCTAACCCTGGGGAGAACATCCATTGGAGGGGCACATGGACACAAAGGCCACCAAGATCCATCTCTGGGGACAGACCTCAGGAAGGTTCTCAAGCCTGAGTGTGAATGTTGCAAGCAAGCATTCTTCTGACCTGCAGTGTGTCTGAGGCCAAGCTACAATTCAAGGGCACCCCAAAAGTTATTTCTTCCTCTCTACTGTATGTTTTCTAATAAAAGTCAGTTCAGATCTGAACTCCTAGGCATCCTGCCTCTGCTGGAAGGGAATGGGAATTTCACCCCTCTGCTGAGATTTGTAAGAGGAAAGGGTCTTTCTGCAGTGCCAGCCTCTCCTTCACGTTCCAGCTGCAAATTCATTGCAATTAGGGAAAATCCACTGTTTACAAACAAAAAGGAAGCATCCAACCCCACACCTGGGACCGGGAACAGTTCAGTCAGGAGTATGGCTCTGTTGTGAGCAGTCAGATGGGAAGGTGAAAGGAAATCCTCAGGAGACAGCGGTCTGCAATCTGAGAGACTGGGGCCCCGTAGGGCTGTTCCCGGCACGTCCATCCAACAGCCTGCTTTGTTCTGATGCTTAGATAACAGGATCAACACCAACATACACTACGTCAGGCATGGAAGTGGTACTTTTCCCACTGGGTTTTTAAAACTATGCTCTTTGGAAAAGGAATACTGAAAGGAATACTGTGGAGAAGTCGGCTGTCGAGCCATGTCTGTGGCTCAGGGGTAGGGATGGGGACAGTGGGCTCCTTGGGGGCTGGGACAGGTTGGTGCACTGACTTTGGAGAAACTAAATTCGTCCAGCAACACACGGAAAACCCAATCACACTAAGGACAAACAGGAAAACCCAGCACCCCATGAGATGCTGGGACTGATGTGTAGTCCCAAAGCATGCCTGCAGCTTCCCATAGGGCTCAAAAGGCTTCATTCCAGTGCCATGATCTTTCCACCTGAAGCAGGGAAAGCAGGCTGCCCTGGAGCCATTTACTCCTCCCCACACATAAACGTGTTTCTGCACTGCTTGCAATCACTCATCTTCACAACGTAGCAAGCCCTGGTTTCAAGCCCCATTAAACCCCAGTGCTCCATCACCCTGCTGCAGTGCCAGCATCACGGCCAGCATCCGGCTGCTGCCTACAAGATGCACCTATAGATCTGAAATCCATGGGGTGGGAGCACAGCACACCTGCTTTGAGGTTTTGTTCCCACCACCCTACTCACCAACATCACCCCACCCACAGCCTGCTATCTGGGGGCTGCCCTGCCCCATCCACATCGCCCGCAGAGTTGGGGCACAAGGGAAACCCAGGACACTGCTTGAAGTCAACACAAAGGTTCAGAAACAATGCAGAAACATGACAGAACCAGGAAAAATATGATTATTTTTGCTTTGTGCTTATTTTTTGCCTTGCATCCTATTTGCCTGCGGCGTGCTCGGTGCCCAGGACCAACAGACACATTGATGCTCTCCACAAGGAATGAGCACCGTGGCTGAGGCTAAAACCTCTCAACAGGGATCAACCTCTCTCCATGGCTCACGTCAAGCTCTGAAAATGAACATCCGCATCAACCAAGCAAGTTGAAGGGCTGAGAGGAGTGAAATGAGAGGAGACACCTCTCCAGCAGCGCCAGTCATTTGCTACTCCATCACTTCTCATTGTATCGCCTTCCTGCTCTGCCACATTGCATCAGGTTATCACACCATGGGATGTAATCCAATGCTGATGCATGAGGAAGCCTAATGCGACCAGACACAGCCACGGTTTGCAGAGAACGGGCTTTAGTTTAGGGTTTCTGGTCCACTACCCAGGGCTGCAAGTGGAGCTCAGGCAGTGCTGCAGAGGGAAGAGCGATGCAAAAATACCCTCGCTGCAGGCAAATCTGCTGGCCATGCCAGCTAGCGTCAGGTAGCTGGACATCTCCCTATAAATAGCATCGCTGCCCTTGGAGCTGCTGCCAGCTCCCATTGTGCCCAGCACCAAGGAAGTGGGAGCAAGAGGACACCAGATGTGTCCTCAGACCAAATGGCGGCTGATAAGGGTGAAGGAGGGGAGTGCGAAAGAAATGGAGCTGGATGGTCTTTAAGGTCCCTTCTGACCCAAATCGCTCTGTGATTCCACGAAATTGCAAGGCCTTTGCAATTTCCCACATACAAGGTCCTGCATGCATGCACCCAGTGTGACTGGCAAAGAGAAAAGCCACCGTTGCTGGGGGCTGAGCATCACACCTGGTTGCTAACGCCTTCCAATCCTACAGAATGCTCTGAGGTACACCAGAAAACAAGGGCTGTGACCAGGCTGCTGAGCTCCAGCTCCATGGGTTTGCATCCGGCTTGGCATCAGCACTGCCCAACCCCAGCACCCAACTTCAACACCCAACTCCAACACTCAATTCAAGCACCCAAACCCAACACCCAACCCCAGCATCCATGCGCAGAGGCAAAGCAATGGCTGCAACCACAAAGGAGCCCTTGAAAATCCCTCTCAAGCAGCAAAAGGTAGCACAGGGAGAGCCCGGGGATCTTCCAAATCGAAGTGGCCAAGCTCCTGCCCCTATGTTGACACAAGCAATATTGCAATACCATCATCAATTCAACTGCTTTTGCATGGCTCAACAATTACTACAAGTCTTTTGGCACATATGCAGACACACATGTTCAGGTTTGCAGCCCTGGTGCTCCCACGTCCTCCCCCCCCCCGGCTGCGACTCACTTGCAGAGAAGGTGGCTTCAGTGTGGACAGGAGGTGTGGAGGGCAGGAAGGGAGGGTAGCCCACAAAGAAGGACCGCAGGGAGCGCTCAGATAGCAGCGGTGAGCGCTGCGCAGGGATGTTCTCACAGCTGCCCACACTGTTGTGGATCTTGAGGTTGAGGGGCTTATTCTTCTTCTTTGTTCTGGGAGAGAAAGGAAGAGAGAGGAGTGAGGCATGAGGAAGTCTGGGGGTTTCCCCCACCGTGCACCCAAGAAGCAATTCTCACAGAGGAGGACACCGTGCTGCCCCAAAAGTAATAAATAAGGATAATTGGACCCCCAGCACGGTGAGAAGTTCCAATCCCTCCCTGCCATCAACAAAAAAAGGAAATGTGTGTGAAATATTAAAGAAAACATTGCATTCAAGAGCTCCGCCATCCACAAAACCCAGCTGCAAAGGGTCAGTGGGTCCAAAACCACTGTCAGGCCCCACTCTGCTCATCCGTGTCCCTGAAAACCATCCCTGTCAACACCAGGATGTGTCAGACATCAGTAACCCGAAGGCACAAATTCCAAGCATGGGACAGAATAGAAATAGGGATGGGATACAATAGGATAAGGATACAAACACAGATGGGATGGGTTGGGAGAGGAGAGGAGAGGAGAGGAGAGGAGAGGAGAGGAGAGGAGATCTGT